ACCTCAAAAGGATAAATTTTTTTTAAGGGCTGGGGATGTAACTCAGTGCAAAGGCCCTGGGTTCACTTTCTGGTACTGAAAAAATCCATGAGTAGTTGTATGGCGTTTGGTCAAAGTCGGGTGGCAGTTACCTTCCCACCACAACTCAGGACAGCGTCCAGGAGGCTCCCCAGGGGGTCAGAGGAGTGAATGGTGCCCCAGTGACCATACCTGCAATCAACAGCAGAGCCCCAACCAGTGTCCCTGCTGGTGAGGTCCCGGGGCTGAATAAAAGTCCCGTGAGCTTGTGTACTTGGCACCCATGCTTCATTTGCTCCCCGCGGGCCCCATCAGATGGCACTGCTGTCCCTTTCTACAGAGGGGAAAGCTGAGGCGCAGAGACGAAGGTTCACTGGCCCAGGTTCACACACTTACCTCATTGCCCAAGAAGGGAAGGAAATTCCAGAGATTCTGACATTTGGGGTGGAAGAGATATGGGATATAAAAAGAATCGTTGTAGGGCCGGACAGATAGCTCAGCGGATTAAAGCACCTGCTTAGGCAGACACAGAGCCAAGGAGTTCCTTCCCCAGCTGCCGTGCCTGCCTGGCCTCTAGGGCATGCCACGCTGAGAGGGTAGAATAGTGGGCATGTGGTGCGCCTGCAATATCCGGAAAAACAGGAAAGATCACTATGAGTCCAAAATCTGTGTAGTGAGACCCTGAACTAAATACGTTAAAAAAAAAAAAAATATATATATATATATATGTATAAAACCTGAATCTTCATAGAAGGTTTGTTGGTCTTCCATACCTGCAACTCAGGAAGCTGAGGCAGGAGGATTGCCAGGAGTCTGAGGCTAGCCTGGGCTACCACAGACCCTGTCTCTATTTATTTATTTATTTATTTAGTAAGGGTTTACAGGGTCTACAGGATCTCACTACGTAAATCGGACTCGTAGTGATCCACCTGTGTTCAGCTCCCAAAGAGCTGGGATTACAGGCATGTGCCACCACGCCCAGTCTCAATCTTCCGCATAGCACGCAGGGGGGATTGAACCCCAGCCTCTGACCTCTGCCTAAGCAGGCACTTTAATCCACTGAGCTATTTGGCCGGCCCTTTTATCTATTTTTGTACTTGGTATCAAACTCAGGACCTTGCTCTTGCCAGGCAAGCACTTTATGTTGCTGAGCTCTCTCCTCTGCCCAACCCTGTCTCAAAAAAAAAAAAGAAAAGAAAAAGAAAAAAGAAAAAAAAAGCTCTAGGCCCCTCTGTTACCCCGTATGTTCCACCTCTTGTTCCATTTGGCCTTCATCTGATGGCTGTTTCAAGGAGCGGAGCTAAGAATATTCCTGAGCCCCGGGAAGCGGACTTGAGACGCCAGGAGAGGAGGGGTACCGACGCGGAGGGAGGAGGCGGGAGGGTACGGCCCCATCTACGCCCCTCCCCCTCTGTACACTCCCCTCCTTCAGCTGCTATTCTGTCCTCCCGGTGCTAAAAATAACCAGCCCGCTTCGTCATCCTCCTCCCCGGAGCCGGCGCTCTATATTTACAGGCCCCGGCAAGAGGGAGGAGAGGCTCGGCAGCGTCCAGCGGGTTCCAGCCCGCGCTTGCGCAGGAGGGAGGCCGGAGCCTGGGAAGACACCTGCGATTTCACACAGTTGAAAGCTCCCCAGGCTTTGACCATAAAGAACTGATACATGGCCCCGGGGTATGCCTAGCCCTATTTAAATGCTATACAACAAACACACGTGTCACAACATCACATGCTTTCAATTAAATCATACGCAGGTATGCAGGTACCGTTAGTGTGTTTATACTATCAGCTCTAAGATAAGTATAGGCAATGGTAAAAGCCTGTCACCTCAGCTTCCCGGGAGGATGAGACAGGAGAATCGCATGCTAAAGCCCAGCCTGCGCAATTTAGGCAGTTAGCAAGACCCTCCTTCAAAATAAGACATAAGGAAGCCTGCTGACATAGTTCAGAGGTGAGCACATACCTAAAATTCAAGGTCCAGTTTTCCAAACCATCACTGAAAAAAAGTAACATTATTATTATTATTATTTTAAAGGACAGAGCCCGGTATGGTGGTACATGCCTGTACTCCCAGCACTGGGGAGGCAGAGGCAGAAAGATTGCCAAGAGTTTGAGGCCAGTTGGCGGTATAGAGTGAGTTCAAGGCCAGCCTGGACTATAAGATGAGATCCTATCTGCAAATAAATAAAATTAAATTGAAATTAAAAAGACCAATGGACATTGTAAAGCCACAATGTCAGGCTTAAAAATCTCTACTCCTGCTTAGGCAGAACACAGTGGCTGGGGTTCGATCCCCTGCCAGAGGGGATGCACTGAAATGGCTGGGCGTGGTGGTGCGCACCTGTAATCCCCACGCTTGGGAGGCCAAAAACAGGAGAATCATTACAAATCTGATCTGCGTAGTGAGACCCTGTAGACCTTGTACTAAATTTAAAAAAAAAAAAAAAAAAGAAGAAGAAAACAAAATCTCTACTCTCTGGCTAGACAAATTATCTGGCCTCAGTTCTCCTTCTGTTAAATGGAATTACAGGGCTGGTGAGATGGCTCAGTGGTCTAAAGCACCTACTTAGAACAAGCTT